AAACAGACACGAAAGTTTTGAATACTACACTTGTTTTTTTTACTTTATTCCTGACTGAAAAAAGAATGACTTTGGGTGTAAGAGGTGGCGTTGAACGGTTTGTCAAGCAGTCTTATCAAATGAATACACAGGTGCAGTGCTTTTTTGTTTTTTTTTAAACTCTTGGTGGAACGTGTCTCCTCGTGCATAAAGCCGAATCATGATCATTATCTTCTGAAATAGTCTTGAAAATTTCTCATCTGTGCTCCAAAGAGATGGAATTCTATTTCCTCCTTATATGCAACCCAGCCTAATCTGCATTTGCAGTTTGGAGCATGTGATATAATATGATGTGTGAATGGGGTTACAGGGCACAACGCATGCACAGTGCTATCAGTAATCCTAACTGACAAGGATCCTGGGATTGTGAGAGAGCATCATATTTATGGATGTGTGAGCTGTATATCAATGAGATTTGGAGCTACACTGTCTGAATAGATCATTACACCGGTCTCCTGTACACTGCTAGATCTACTGTATCCCAACGCTGCTCTGAATGTCTGTAAACAGACATAACATTAGGAGATTGCAATGCAAAGTAATGCACTGTAAGAGTGTAGGTATACTTTATAGAAATTTGATAATGACGGTGATTTTAAAGGTGCCTTGAGAGCAGATTTAATGTTTCCTTTTTATGGTTTATGGCATTAATAGCAAGCCATAATACCTGTAAGGTGCCACTTTGTCTGTGGTTTAGTTTTATATCTCTTTTGATGTAAGGGCATCTCATCACTGATTAATGAAAGTCACATCTAATGGATGCAATAGATCCCAACTGAGAAAAGGTGATTAAATTGTGCACATAGTTTTAATGAATGCTTTGCCAAACAGTGTGACATGTTCTTTTTTTTTTGCAGCTGTCACACACCTCTAATTGACAGATATTTTCAAGAGAACTTGTTCAAAGGATCCTTTTCGCTTTTCATGTCCGTAATTGCCTGTTGGCATGCCTGACCTGCCATGTTGACACCAGACATACCGAGCCGCATTCTCACATCTTTTTAATGAGTCCATGTTATGATGCAGTCTCTAATTGTCCCGTTGGCAAAAGAACAATAACATTAAAAAAAAAAGGGTATGAACCACCCAGTCAGCCCTCCAATCTAACCCTGCTGTGACCCTGGTGGTGTGAGTGTACAGATCAGTGCGTGTGAGAGGAGGAAAATCTCAGGCTTGAAGCCAGACACTTGTCAATTTTGGCCAAAATGAATTCTATATATATAAAATTGAAGCCCTTGATGAAACCAGTTATCCTGCATCAAAAAGGCATTACGAGAATCATGACACAAAATTGAATTGGACAATAAATCCTCAAAGTTAAATAGTTTTTTAGAGGAAAAGAAAAAGGGCTCTGCGGTAATGTGAATGTAAACAATTTATGAGCGAGAATGACGAAGGGAGCCGAAACGTTCATCCCTCTCACACACCACATCACATGATCACTTAAGAGTCCGTGTGCGAACATTGTTTCACTTCTCACTAATCAATCAGATAGCAAAATAAATGCAGCTTTGAAGAGTTCAAGCCGTCTTCGCGGCGCTCTGCTGGATCGCGTGGATGGAGGTGAGGGAGAAAATAGGGCCGCATGAGAAGTAATCAACGCAGCCCACTATGATAGTGACAGCAGGTTAAGGAGGGGATGGAGGGAGAGAGCTCTGTTTCTATGCCAGAGAAAATGAAAGCAGTTGGGGGTATACGCTGTGTGCACTAGTCAGTCAAATATGCTTGTTATCAAGTGTGAGTGTGTGTGTGTGTGTGAGAGAGAGAGAGAGAGGGAGAGAGAGAGAGAGATGGGACGCAGCAGGAGAGGAATGCAGTCATGGCTGTAAAGTGGGTGTGAAAACAGCCATGTTCACTGACCTCCAGCCTGACCTCCCCACCCCTCCTCCCCTGGTAGTTGATAGTGTCCTCTCAGAGTGTGTGTGTGTGTGCGCGCGCGCGTGTGTGTGTGTGTGTGTGTGTGTGTGTGTGTGTGTGTGTGTGTGTGTGTGTATCGCAAAAAATGCTTGAGAAAATATGTGATAAAACTTGCCTGAGTTTCTGTGGTGGTGGTGTATGTGTGTGTGGTTGCAGCGTGAGCGCTCTTCTGTGTGTGTGTGAGTGTGTGTGTGATGATAGCTGTAAGTGAATGGCCCCGAGTTTACACTAGTCCAAGGGAAGAGGTCAAGAGGATTATCTTAAAATATTAGCTGCCCTCTCACCCTTTCCTCCCTCCTCCTTTCTTCTCTCTCCCTTTTCTATCTCCTCCTGTATCCTTGAGGCAAATAGCACCTGTTGCACACAGAGACACACACACACACACACACACAGTAGGTGTTTAGAACTAACTGCATTTGATTTTCTTGACTTTGCATGAATAAAAACATTGATGTAACTGTCAAGGTCCTTCTTGCCTGAATTTACTTATTTCTTTTTATTACTGTTCATGTATTACTTAATGGCTGACAGACACATCACAGAAAAAGTAAGAAGAGATAAAGTATAAAGTACATACTAAAAAATCATCTTCACTTAACTCTAAAATCATCAATTTATATATTTTATTGTATATATATTTTTATTTTTTTGCTTTGATATAATTGATATTTCAAATCCTACTACCTGGTGCTTGGTATTGTTGTGTCCTTTTCTAATGCAACTACATAATTTTCCACCTCTGTTTAGACTGTACACTTGCTCTAGCCTACATGTGGACAGAAACTTATATATAATAAGTTCACATCCCTTTTGAAAAACTATTTGTCATATTTAATTTAATCCCTCATTTTTATAAACACGCACACATACACACACACACACACAAATATCTTTTTTTTTTTTAAATGTGCACGTGGATTGTTCCACCAGTCCTAAATCTGGAGAAGTAGCCCCACTTTTTAAACATGCCACAGGGCCAGGTCACTATAAATCTACTCCAGACGCTCTGCACACTGTATCCAAATGAATTCATGTTACAGCTATTTTCGTTAGTGATTTCCCACCTGAATTTTGGCCTGCTGCTCATTTTCTAAAGTTTCATAAATCCTCCTTGTGAGCACTTGTCTGATTTAAGGCGACGACAGACGCGGTTCCTCTGGCGCGCTCGGACTTGGATTTGTCCTCGGCTGAGTCAGCTATCCCGTCTGTTTGCCACTGCGGGGCGTCTGGGCGCTGGAGCGGCGCCTTGAACCCCCTTCGGTGCGCTCCCCGCAACAGACTGCCAGGCTGCACCTAAGCAGGGAGCCCGCGTGGCCATCATCTCTCAGCGTTACGCTATCGCACAGGCTGAGAGGCATCACCACCCTCCGCCTGTCTTTCCCCTAAACCTGTGGGATAGATGTGACCTTTCTGGAGCAGAATTCATTACAATTATAGAGCAAATATGAAGATTTTTATTACTAATACTGAAACAATCAATTCTCATTATTAATAATTGAAGGGGAAAGCCCGATTACTTATTTATTATCTTTTCTCAAGAACAAATATTTAGATTTATATAGTTATTAGCCTATCTTAACGTCCAGTCTGTATTACCTCAATACAGGCCTCTTTCTTGTTATTATAAAAAAAAACACACACTGGAATTGAGTCAAACTGAACTCAGACAGAGAGTAACTGGAGCTCACGGTCTTCTTTGGTCCGCTGCGTCCGTTTGCATGTAATTAAATAGCGCCGTGCGCACTTATCGGACGGATCTGACAGTAGAGTATCTAAATGCGGTCCCTGTCCTGTGCACCTCTCCCCCCCGTCCCCTTCCAGCTCTACCTCTCGGTAATTGAATTAGCTCGGTTTTAGGCGGGGGAGGGGCTTGGCTTTGTTCGAGTGACGCCCATTCAAATAATTTCAAACCAATGGGACTATCCCCCGCTCCTCCGTAACCAAACCCACTCTCTCAGTCGGCGTCTGGAGCTGCCTGCCTTTGCCCTCACCTTCCTGCGTGTCCCGGCGTTTCAAACCCAAACACAAGAATAGAGGAAGACTACACGAAACGCACATGGGAGAACGCGAGGTTTTTTTCACGCCCGCACGTCGCACGATGGCTTATATATGAGGAGGACACTTTGGGATGTGGACATAAACAAGCGTCTCCACGGAGAGAAGCGCATGAGAAAACACAACGCTGTCCGTAGTCTCCGACACCGAGAAGGACTCCTCCCCACCTCGGCCGTGACACCTCCCGGTAAATCGCTGAGAAAGGATAACAGCCTTTTTTTTTTTTGGATTTTTTTTTCTGGAGACGAGAGACCGGGTCTAACACTGCCATTCAAATGCCAGTGACTGACTGACTGTATGGCTTTAAAAAGTTGCCTGGAGAACATGGACATCTGACGTGCGCCACACGGCGTCATTGGACACATTGAGCCTCTCTCTCTCTCTCTCTCTCACACACACACACTCTCTCTCTCTCTCTCTCTTTTCTCCATCACATCTCGGACTGAATAATCCCCTGCGCTTTGGGTTTGGAGTAAGAAGAAGTGTTGAGCAGTTGTCATTTGTCCTGACACAGGCTACATCCAGTAGCTCCCCGCAGAAAGGGAACATTACCACACCACAGAAGACACTGCCTGTTGTGCTGCGCATTTGTGTGTGCCGATCTCACTGTTTGTGCGTTAGAGGGAGAGAGATATTCTGTCAGCCCACCACGGATTTGTCCGAGCTGACATCCCGCATGAAATAAAGCGTATGATTCAACTGGACACTCGCCCTGCATCAGAGAGAAAACAACACTGACGCGCTGGTTTTCTAACTTTACATTTCCGTCAGACCGAACAAGTGTCATCTCAAGTGTCCCCTTGAATGGTCACAATTTTGCCTTTTCTGTGCAGTGCGCGTTTGTATTTGTGTAGCATTCACAAACTGCGCCAGACACACACGGCCACAGGTGAATGAGACTCGTCACCTGTCCCGGTTGAAGCGCTCGCACAACTCGACTGACTGACCCATACTTGAAGAGGAATACGTGCCGAAGTTTCGCCGTAGTGATGCTGCAAGTGGAAATGGTCCTCTTTGTCTGCCTGGTGCTGTTGATGTGTGTTTTTAGCCAGGAGCCCAGCTCCAAAGTGGTGGCCGACCGCTACGCCGTCTTCTGGAACCGGACCAACACCAAGTAAGTAGCCTCACACCGGGGCAGGTTTACCGCGGAGAGTCGGCGATGTTCCGTCTCCTCTCCTCGCATCTGCATGAGCCACGGGGTTCGCAGGTTTGCTGGACCACATCGGTGTTTATTCTCCGCAGTGAGGGCATAATGCCAGTAGCTGTAGGTACAGGCTATAGCCGAGGACAGGAACAGGAGAGAGTAAGCTGTGCTGTGTCTTTTTTTTCTTCTTTTTAAATACGTGGCTGCTCACAAACAGCGCGTCCCAGGAAACTACAGATTAAAACCGTGCGTAATAAGGCCCGAACATAACATTAACCGTCTGATGTTGCATCGCTTCACTCGCTGTCGATATTGCTCCGATAAGGGAATTTACCGTTTCACTGTGAATTGTTCAGCTGTAGGTACAGGGACAGAGCTGTAAAACCTGGAGCATTATCTTGTGTTGTTTCTCTGTCCGGCGGACTCAGGCAGGGTATTTAGACAACCCCAATGTAACCATTAACCCCAGTATCTAACCAGTCTCTTCTATGCTGAACACCTAACAGATCCACATCAGCACGAATCCTACAAAGTCCATTTTCCTACCAAATGTGGCCGCTCACCTCCTCACCAGACTGTGTGAAGGCTCAGTGCCTTGATTTGGGGAAAAAAAAAAAAAAAAAAAAAACTTCAGTTGTAGTCAAACAGGCCAAACGCCCTGTGCAGTGAGAGGGAAAGCTTTGGTATGAGCTTCTGTGTTCAGTTTGTATATTGTGAGGCTTCACCTCTAGAAAATACTAAATTTAGCCGTTAAGAGCATAATGTATCAGTCAATATTAAACAGCTCCACCAGGAAATTCACTACAGTTATCATAATGTCATTTACTGGGCACAGAGCGGTCTCAGCACTTATGAAAGTATCTAAAGCAGAGCTTCATGAATATCACAGAGGCACCATGGCAGCAGAATTACATCAAATGACAAAACTCAGTAAGCTGAAGCCCAAGTGCAATATTATGATGATTTTACTTTAGAATTTGTTAGTGTTTATGGTTCCAAAGAGCTTCAGTTTTTTTTCTGTTAACATTTATTCATTAACAGAGTCATTGAATGACTTTTTTATGTGAAGACACGTTTCCTAGAGAAGTTGAACAAATTGTAATTAATTTATGTTAAATTTAGATATTCTCCAGCCAATACAACACTTTTTTTTTTTTTTTTTAACTGTGCAGCACTATAATGTACTTTTGTGTATTTGGACACTCGACATTTGAAGCACACTATTGTAAAGTAAAAAAAAAAAAATTCCAATTAAATGTGGTTTAATAGTAGATTTATTTACTAAAATGAAACCTAAAAAATGCAAATCAATTCTGGGAAATAAAATCCAGTGCAGTGACTGCATAAAAAGGCTTTCATTAAAGTAAGAACAGTGGAAACCAGGGACTTAGCCTTTTGAAAACTTTTGAAAACTTTCTCTCAGTTTAACAGTGTACAGCTTCTTTATTCTAAAATGAAATTTTACATATTGTTTTTCCTATATTCTATATGTTGGCGAAGACGAATGGTTACACGTTCAGACGTTTGGAGGCACACTGTCCTGAACTAATGTTTCAAAAATGTACATAAGTATATATTTCTGAGTTTTTTTTCAGACAGTTAATTTAAATATTGCCACAAGTTGTAGGAATTAAAAGTGTAGTCTTTTCACTTTGCATATAAATTAACAAAAGGACAAGTGTGTGTTCAACATAATAAAGATTCAGCAAAAATCTGCCAGCAGTGAAGGGAAGACTTTATGTGCTGTTGACTCAGACGGGCCACACTAGAGGTCTTCAGAAAAGTTAAAGTAAAAGTTTCTCAGATGTGCCTCAGCCCTCGGGTCGAGCCTCTCTCTGCCCGGACAGTCTCGAGACAGTCTCGGTGTTCAGTGTACGTGTTTGTCGAGACAGCATTTCCTCGCTAAAAGTCCCTCATGGAGTTAGACTGTACAGCCTTGTCCCGGGCTTATTAAGTCTAAACACTGCTGGTGGAGTTTACATAGATCTTTCACTCAACTGCCACCGGCACTTAGTATTTGCTGAATAAAATCCTCAGCTTAGCCTCCAAGTGCGCACAAAGCCATTAATAGCACATGCTGAATTTGTTGCACAACTATTTATATTCAGTTTGAAGTTTGGGAAAACATGATTTATTGCTCGAAGCAATTAGTGGTCAGGGGTACAAACGGAGGGCTGACTGTAAGCGCTCTCCTGAAGTCAGGGCCAGTCTAGCAGGGTGCGTAGATCCTCGGCCTGATATACGGTAGACCATGACTGTTGTGGTCTTGGTCTCTGCTCCGACTTACCCTGGCTGTTTATTTATGGAGCGCTCTCTTCAATGGAGGCAAACACAATTTTGAGTTTAATCTTGATTCCTGCTGTTGATAGACCTACTTTAATTAGACTGTACATTTTTTTTTTCGGCAAAAAAAAAAAAAAAAAGAAGAAAAGTTTTGACTTGACTGGCTGCTCAGTTAACTTGATATCTTCCAGATGTGCTGACAAGTTTTCTCAGTTTCAGTGAAAGAAAAAAAAAAAGTGTAGTTAGAAAAAAAGGGAAATTTAAGTAAATCCTGTTAATCTCACATCTGACACACTAACACCAAAAGGGAGAGAGAGAGAGAGAGAGAAAGAGAGAGGGTGAGAGGAATGAAGAACTTTGTGATCCACTAGTCTGCATGCGTGTTGTGCCTTTTACTCTCTTTGTGTCCGCAGTAAAGTCTCGAGGAAGAGATAGCTTCCTGAGCCTCATCTGTTTCTGAAGCTCTGACTTGCCTGAGGAAAGGAAACAGGTTTTCACAGAGGCTGTAATGCGGCTAACACCAGTCACTCCGTTATACTTACTCTAAATAGAGTTTGTTTGACTCTCACCCCTACAGGGCTGAGGCAGGAAGCCAGAAAGGTAACGTAACAGCAGAGAGGAGACGGAGAGAGGCAGAGATAGCAAACCCGTCTTATTGATGACTCAGTTAATAAATATCGAGTCCCTTTCTTCATGCATTACTGTAGAAGGCTGGTGTGGCACTGTAACGTAACTTGCCTCCCGTCTGCCTTTGTTCTGAGGCTGCACGGTCTCACCCAAAGTACGGCTGCTCCAAGAATTTCCACTATGAACGCCCAAATAGTCACATTCGAGCCCGAGTGACGTGTGACGTTGTGACAGCAATAATGTAATTTGTCATGGATAATGTTAGCAGGTAACTTAAAGGATAATTTCAATGTTTTTTCTTTCATTCTAGTTTGACTCTCTCTTTACATTCGCTCTCATTGGTGTCTGAACAAGATCGTTCAGGGCTTGTTTTACCCCCCACCCCCACCCCACTCTCCCCCAACCCAGAAGAAGCCATTTGTCGCCATTCATTTTTTTAATGTTTTTTTGCTCCGTGTAAAAATTGCAGCTTCCACAGACTTGAAAATTGCCCAAGCGAGATAATCCATCACACTGAGACTGTAGTTTGAGTTTGTCACAGAATCTGTTTAGATTTCAATTCATTGTGCCCAAGTTGGATATTTCTCATCAGTGTTTGTAATTCATCACCTGAGACGCACAGACAGAGATGAGAGATTGTACATGGAGACACAGACTACTAAACCTCAACTAAAAACTGTTTGTACTCACAAACCTCGCCTCATCTGTTTCACTTCTCAGGGTGCGTCTAACTACAGTACGATAAAAGTTTAAAACCTAACATTAGTAAGTGATCAAAATAAAGTAAATATTACATTACATGTGTGTAACGCGCAATGATGCGGGGGAAAGTGTGAAGGATAAGACATGGCTTGAAGCTCAAGAGGTGACTTCTGTTGTTGTTGGAGTAACTGGCGCACGAAACACTCTGGTGTAGAGACCTTTACAGTTTAGAGGGTCAGATGTATCGAATGGAGGATCTCCAATAAGGACTTTTTGTGTTTGAAATGGAAGCTTTTTGTTGGCAAAAATGTTTTTGCTAGTTAGAATGTCTTATATTTGTTTTTTCCAGCGGTCGAAATTACAAGCAATTGGTAGATTAGTGTGGAATTTTATCGGTTTGGAGTCTCGTAATTTGTGTTAGCGGTGCCATGGTTGTGTCTGCTGAGTGTTTGTGTTGTTGGTGAGTTGGGTAGGGGCCGAAGGGGATTTCCTCGCTGTTTTGTTGGCTTCACTCCACCGTTGTGTTTCACAACTCCAGCTTGAGACCAGAAACTTGCTAACTTCTGTTATTCTGAATAACACCTTTATCTCCCTCCCTCTCTTCAACACACTCACATTTTCTCTTTTATTTTTCTGCCTGTGGTTCAGTTTTCCTTCGAACTTTTCTCATAGCACCTTAATTTCCACTTTGAGAGTTTTGTCCATCCAAAAGTTATTTTTTGGGCCCAGTGTCGAGAAGCGTAAGAAATCTTCAAGTTTTATCTGTCTATGGAGAGATCCTTCAACTTGAAATAAGTTAAAAAATAAAGGGACATTTCTCTCGGTGGATTCTGACCTCTGCTATCTCTCTGACTCTCTTTGCTTGTGAGTATTTATTCTAATGAGGGGACAGACCGTTGCTCTAATGATGTCTCAGCTGGAACGCCGAAGAGATGGCCCTTTCCTTCCTTTCTCCCCCCTCGCCCTTTCTTCTTCCCCATATCCCTCCTCGCCTTTCTCCCGTGTTGCCTCTCAGCACTCTGCTTCTCCACGTTCCTTCTCTCTCTCTCTCCCTCCCTCCCTCCCTTCCTCCCTCTCTCTCTCTCTCTCTCTCTCTCTCTCTCTCTCTCTCTCTCTCTCTCTCTTTCTCTCTCGCTCCGTCTCTCCTTGCTGGGTACAGAAAATGAATGAATACAATTAGATATTTCGGGAGTCCCTCCACGGTTGATGGTGGAAAAAGACGCGCAGAGGTCAGGCACGCTCTGAGAGGAGCTCAGGGGAGAGGTCACGCACATACGGCGAGGAATAACGAAGCAAAAAAAAAAAAAAAAAAAAAAAGTTGTGGCCTGTGAATGACAAACTAGTAACTAGAACTCTCC